CCACATTTATATTATTATAGCGGGGTGCGCGATAGACTTACCTCCACGTGGTGCACCCTGGGCAACGTATACTCGTACGGCAAAAAAGTCTATCAACGGGCAGTTGACTTCTGACTTCAAACTACCATGGCCCGACTGCTTGTCATATTTGACCCATTCAACAGTACTCATCTTACCCTTTTCTCTGCCTTTGTGTCTGTCTGCCTCTTTTACATCTGTGAATCGCTCTTCTGTTCCCCCCCCCCTCGGCTTTCTTCTACTTTGATGAACTTTCCCTCTGTGAAGCCCGAAGTCAGCTAAATGGCTAATGATAGCCATCAAAACGCCTGCCATTTGAAATAAATAAATATTATTATGGCTAGACAAATTTTGCTATTTAGCAAAATCATACGTCATCACGAGTGATGCTTTCCACTGTGCTACGTTAGAACATTGTGGACTAAGGTTAATGATGCTCGTTGATATTCGTGAATATATGCAAGCTGCTTTCTACCAATTTGTTTTCATGAAGAAATTATCCTACTGCATTTGATTATTGGGCGCAGTAACTATAGATAATGAGGGAAATTCCCACCGGTACGTGGCCGCTAAATTGAATGGTCTCGTACACTGCATTGTACTGATCAGTGGTAATGATGACTGAATGCCAGTTTCTCAATAACGTGTAAGAATGAGTATTTGAGCGCTTTCTTTGAGAAGGGATCAAGAAATTATCGAGAAGCAGCAGCAGCAGCTATATTCAAATTGAAAAAACAACTTACGGGAAACGGGGTAGTGATGCCCATGGAAAACACATAGCTCGGAATACTCCAAGTATCGCCCCAATGACAATTTGGGCAATAGAACTTTCCTGAGTAGAAACACATTTTGGCGACACCAGGCGTTGTCTCACTATCAAGCCTGCGTTGTTGAAGGACCACACAAACGTCAGCTGGGGTTTGAACTGGTCCCAAAGTGGGCGAAAAGACCCCACTGATCTCTTGAACTGCTGACGTCATTTGTTTTAAGGAAACTTCATTTCCAGTTGGCGTGTGCTCCATCCGCCGAATGCTGGCTGCCAACTCTGCGGGTGGAGTTTTAAGATTGAATGAAGTCGAATGGGAATCTACAAGGGGATAAAACAACGCTCTATTCTATTCATAAGCAATTTCAGCATAATAGTTGTGTCCTAGGAGAGTACAAGATGCCTTGTAATGAGAAATGAACAGGTATGTAAAAATATACCTACGGGAGAATAGTTCCGGAAATTTTGAAATCCAGTAGGTTAGTTAATAATGGAAGACCTCAAGAATTTAACTCTAGACTAAAATTATACCTAAATTACTTGAAACTTGACAGGATTCGAGTAACTCAATTGGGAGGTTCCATGATGCCCAGGATGAGCACTGTTAAACAATTTGTTAAATAGGCTGGGAAATTTTCATTGAAAAAAGACAATATCATCATTATCTAATCGACTCCCTCTGTAAAAGTATTGGAATCAGCAGAGGAAATATATAAATTAGGTAGAAGAAAAGTCCGTTGATTTTGCCGGGAATAATTCGGATTGAAGGACAAATGAACAATTGTCAAAAAGCCAGAATTAACTAAAAAATCTTAAAATTTGCATTGCAATAAAGAAAGTGGATTCAATACTAACCTGAGAGAAAATAAGAGAAGAAATATAAAGCGTCCCTCTATGAGGTCTTAAAGACTAAATGAAACTAGGGAAAAAAATTGAAAGAATTAAATAAGGTCAAGATTTCCAAAACACTTTCTTAATGAATAATATGCTAGTTTGCTTTATTTGAAGCGGAAACCTCTTTTGCAAGCACACAAGCTCTCACTCTAAATGCTCCACGAATTCTGATAGTTTTCAATGAAGTTCTTCAACGAACCAACTCCCTCAAATCTCCATTTTTTGTCAATCAGCGAAACTAAAGAGAAACTTGAAAGAATATAGTTCAGAAAGAAGTCTCCAGTCACTCAGATCGACCACCAATTATGCTCCCAAACCAACGAAATGCACTAACAACCTTCTGCAATGCGTGACAATAAGACGGCACATGATTGTAAATCCTCATTAAAATTAGCCTTCAGTGCAATTTTCTCCGCTTAATAGCCGAAAAACTGAAAGGCAATAAATGCCTCATATCGAAAAAAGGTTCTAAATACGATTTCAAAAATGTGAAAGGAAAATATTGGGAGAAGAAACTGGTAGCACAAACCTCGAAAGAGTGTTGGCGAAGATACAGAGGCATGAGATGTCGCTTGAGGTGGTCGAAGAGGTATTTTACAGCTCCAACAAGACCAGCATTGAGATGTTAAACTGGCTCCAAGCTGAGCAATTCTCGACAATTCTAATGTGAGCATAGGATTAGCTTGAGCTGCTGGACAGTGTCGAAGAAGGTTCTGAATACAAGAGGATGAGTCATGGCAAGTAACACAGCAATCTCGACAAATGAGAATATTCCCGGTGGGAGAAATGACAGGCCTCGAGCAGGAATCGCAAATAGTTCCAAGCAGTCGGAGAGAAGAAATAGATCGAAAAGTATGCCCCAATGTGCTATTTGCACAACTGAGAGATGCAGACTGAGGATCGTTCTCAGTACTCGTTGTTTTAACCTCCCACTCCTTAGCAGAGTACAGAAGACGACGCAATTCAACCAGACGCTTAAGGAAAAATTTCTGAGATTCTTGAGATTTGCCTCGTGATATAAGGTACATGTGTTTGCATTGAAGTATCCAGGACTCTAATTCACTGACCGAAGATTGAGCCCCAGCATCTTTCTTGAGAAGGTTAATAAAGTTCAGATTAAAATTTTAGTGTAAAATAAATGTTTAATATTTCTGGCATTATGATAAGAATATAGAAGTCGTAAACTCACAAAAGGATCATCGAAAAATACTTCATTTTCTGTAGGCACATCTAGATTTGACGAATAAATAACAACTAAAAAGTAAATTTTAAAGCAAACCTGAAGGGGGTTCGTAAATAATTTTTAACACCGAAGGGGGACTAAAATCTTCCTGAAAGGGGTTCTCGCGTTCAGAAGACCCATAGTCCATTTTATCGCTTGTACGCACATAGGTTATGAAGGTGAAGCTAATTTTGCAGCCAGCAACACCATCCAATCAAATACTTGAATTGAGGTCACTTAAAACAGCTAAGAGCAATACACATAAACCTGTTTAAGTCTAAGAAAATTTCCCATTGAGGAGCACTCCAAATTCCATTTACAGAGAATAATTCTCGAGGTTAATTTTTTGACAACTGTAGAAAGTACCCACAAACTAGACAATAAAAGGTAAAATTGCAGAAGCCAGTCACTGAAGCAAACCCAACACGGATATATAAAAGACCAGCGACAAAGGAGGTAATAAAACAGTATATTGTCATTCCTTCAAAACGTTTAGAAAATATACAAATATAAGATTAAAGCAGGAGTACAAATACCAACATATGCCGGATTTAAAACATCTCTGGTTCGACGCCATCAGCTTCCTATAAAAATCAAACAAAACTTATATACGAAAAACAACAGAGAATCTTGGAAATTTTAATTACCTGTACACTAAACATAAAAGCTCTTGCCAGATCTTCATACTTCGATAACCGTGTTACCTCGGCCTGTAGAACTTCAACGAGATCACACAGCTGAAAGTAATCAAAGAAAATAGCATTACCTCTTTGTTTTCTGCTAGTGTTTCAACAAGAGCCTCCCTTCGTTGCTCGGCAAGCTGTTTATAATATTCAAGACTCGCATTTTCTACGGAATAAAAATTAATTAATAAAATGCATACCAGAACACAGCATTTCCTTTAGGTCACTAGAAGGTTCATTAGACGTTTGAACTGATGTATGAGCCTTTCGAACTGATCTTCCGATAGCTGATTTATCAATTCCACAGTGCTGACAAGAGGATGATGCATTGTCCTTGTAAATAGCGAGAGAAGACGTATGTGCAATTTTCTTAGGATAAACTTCTGGATTCTCCTTGTTCTCTTGTTGGACAGCAATTCGTTGCTTGACAAGTGACTTGAGAGATTCCTAAAAATAATTAAATTAAAAATGACACTACATTTTCCGTATTATCATATTTAGAAATAGCAGGTTGGACCCGAACAGAAAGCCCTCTACGTTGAGACAACATCCCGAACCAAATACGATTGAATTACAAACTATGCGTTGTGCAATTAGCGCAATTTCGATATATTTAAACGCAAAAGCAAAGCATTTTAAATTATTTTAGCATTTAAACATTTAACCGAATTTTAAAAAATCTTTAATTTTTCTGAATAATCAGATTTAAGTACTTGTATACTTTATGATTTATTTTATAAGCTCAATAATTTCTAAAAAAATCAAACTGATTTTATTTAAGAGACTATCAAATGGTTTTCTAAACAGGATGATGTGGGATTTTTCCTGTGATCATTGGCAAGTTAATTAATAATTTATACACTGAAAACTTATACCGTACTCAAAGTTAATTATTCGGTCTCAAGTAACATTTATCGCCTTCATAGGTAATATCAAGACCTTTACCAACTTCCGTCTTGGATGCTTTCATCCTTCTCTCTTTCTCCATATTCCGCTCTTCTTCATTCAAACTGACCACTGCAATAATCGGTTGCTTTTCCGAAGTCCTCCCCAGTGAATTCACTTATTTGTTTTATTTTACTTCTAAAATTCTTACTGCAGTGGTTTACTTAATCACAGCAATTTTTAATAGCAAGTTATTTGCATTCACTAATTGCTCAACATTTTGAAGATCTAAATTACACATAAAATAATACTGAACACTAGGTCGCTCTTTTGACCTTAAAGCTTTCTCCAACTATGTTACGCGTTGAAATGATTTGAACGACTTGAAGACAACTTGCGCTATATGAGTTTGCGGTGAAACATCATCGTGGAATCATGGCTGACTAGATACTTTGAGTCACTATGTATATGTAACATATTTAATTATTAATTACCCTTTATCTTAACTACCTGCTTAAAATGCTTCATATGGTATTTTGGTAGTAATGTTTCTGATAAAGAAAAAAATATTCCCGAAGTGGTACATCTTTGATTACCGTTCAATGCCGATCACTTTTAGAGAACAGATATGGTAACTAAAAAATATTTCTAATCTACGTTGTTTTGATCTTTACGAATAGTATCATGCATTCTTAAATGAACAAACTAACAATGAAGACTAGACATCCACCTTCCCAACGTCATTAATTGTGCATCAAAAACCAATTGAATTCATCACCCCTGTGAAGAATTAGTACATTTTAAACTCAACCTTTGGCAATAAATTACTTTTTACATTACTCGATCTGATTCAAGAATATCGCTATCTTTTAATAAAAGGGAATTAAATATAAAAGGTCGTTAATCAATAAGAAGGGTCGTTTTAATGTAATATTAGACCTTAATATTTTTACAGAACAGCATTGGACTGAACGCGCCTGCTAAACAACAGGGATAAGTACTTAGCTTAAGTAGCGCTTTTATTCACGGAAATATAGCCATAAATTAGAATCTGCGTATATTATTACTCTTGTAGGTTAGACAAAGTTAACGCTAGAGGAATGTTTTTTCATCATTATTTAACTTGAATCCAAAGTAACTACTCTCAAGTGACTCTCTGCTTCCATTTGAGTTTATTGCTGACTGTGAGTCCGAAAGTATTACTGCTTTGGTGAATTTCGTATCCAGGCAACATAATTGGCTTAGTGCTATCCAAATGGCCTCTATTTCTCCTCTATTGTGTCGCGCTGCTGCGTATAAAGAGAAGAGTTCAGAGTAGACACCTGCACCAAAGTTTACTTGGTTTTCTATATAAGACCCGTCAGTGAAGACTTAGAGCCATTGATCTGCAGGATAGTTGACGTTGATTGTCTCAATTGATTGTCTCAAGGGCCTGTGATTTCCTGAAAAATGAGCGCATTTGCTCTGGAGGAGTGTTTGATTTCCTGAAGACGCAGTTGGGTGCGACACACTACATCAATGTCTGCTAAGGTCAAGCAGTTGGGTGCAACACACTGCATCAGTGTCTGTCAATAGGTTCATGGTGCAACACACTACATCAGTGTCTGCTAATGGGTTCATGGCGCAACACACTACATCAGTGTCTGCTAATGGGTTCATGTGTAACACACTACATCAGTGTCTGCTAATGGGTTCATGGGTCGATGGAGGCTTTTTGGTTGATCATCGATTCGTAATGCTTTCTTCAGTTCTATGACATTCTATATTAGATCAGATTGCGTTTTCAGATGTCCTGGTCTATTTTCGTAGGTGCTGAAGAATTTATCCTTGGGATTGCGCAGTAGCTTCTCATGCAGGATCAAGGCCTTCTCTTTGATAAGTGAACATGTTGTGGTGTTCCCCGTATCCAGAAGTATTGCATCAATGGGTGTCGATTTTACCCCTCCAATAATAAGACGTAATGCCTGGTTGTGTGTCTTCTCGAGTGGTTTGAGAATCACTTCAGAGGCTGTAAGGAGTGGCTCACAACAATACAATATTATTGGTGTGACCTGGGAATTGATAGTATTCGAGTTTGTCATCCGTAAGGTTTGCTTCCATGGTTGTGAATATGTCTATAACATAGGTATGCACGATTTTCTGGATTTGGATCTTCTTGTCCTGTTATATCCCTCCAGCATTCCACTGAAGGATCTGTAGGGACTGTGATTCACCCTGACAAGTGCGATTTCTCTTATAGCCCTGTTTCAGGCTGATCATAATAATTTGAAGGCCCTTGCCGAGTTATAGGCTTCTTTGAGGTATGAATATACGTTGTCCAGGGTGCACCACGTGAAGGTAAGTTTATCGCGCACCCCATGTTTCAACAATCTGGTGTCTTAATTAAATCCACGGATCCTGAAATCTGAGTTCCCCCAATATATTCTTCGTATTTTAGGGCAAAAGCAAGTTGATTAAAATGTGAAATGTCAATTTTACTTTCATTAAGTTAGTAACTATTCGGCTACAACTTCAAATTGTACTGAGAATTGTTGGTTTTCGTTAACGACTTGGGTGATTAAAAGTGCATAAAAAAGTGTTTCTTACTCTACCAAAACTCAGTTAAAAAATGACTATTCAATGCAAATCTAAAAAGAGTGGAGAAGATGACGCTGTGATAGAGCACTTAAAAATAAATGTCTGAATTATGTTAAAAGAAATTAAGATAGCCGACCGCACATATTTTTATTAGCCAGGGGAAGGCCATAGGAGATCATACCAGCTTACCTGCTGGGGTGAAATCAACAAATGTCCTTTCTACACTCTATTTTCAGGCCCTTTCACGTTGGATCAACTTAAGCACTTTCATAATTACATTAAAGACAAATTTAGCATTAATTTTAACGTTGTAGCGGATTGCTACACTAATTAGTCCAGACGAATGCTCAGTAATCTCCACGGCAAGTTCACCTAGTTTGGAAAAGATCCCAGGTTTAGGAAAGCGACCACAAAAAAACTACCGTTTGGACACACGTATAACGTTGGATACGATTATTTGTTCAACAGACAGGAAGCTTTGTCATTATGTTAATATGGAGGGTCTGTTATTGATTTTTGGCAGTTGGCTGAGTGGTCTCCACACTCACGACCGATCCTTCAAGCCTGTCTGAGTGCACATGAGATTCCATGCTCAGTGATGACAGTTACGTACGCTCCACAGATTCTTGGTCTAACCACCAAAAATTTAAAAATATGGAGACCTTCTTGGTCGATGCTTTTTCAAGCACTACGTGGTCGACATATACGTTTCTCTGCAAGTATATTTGAAGATTATCTCAAATGTTATGCCTAAAGGCAAAGAGTCAACTTCCATAGACGATGGTCCAATTTGTAGGTACATCTTATCGTCAAATTTACCAAACTTCTCTTTTTTAGGAAATAGAGAAATTGTGACTTATTATAATGTAAACAAAGTTTTGATGACTTATTTGCGACATTTAGAACAATGCCAAAGTTATAATCTGTAGTGGACAACTACACTAGCAAAGCCTTGACCGTTTCAGAAATCTCTATTGTAGTATCTCCTATATCTGCCTAGACTCCCAGAACTAGCTAAGCTACTGCGAAGCTGGGGTGGAAAGAGAAGTATTACACAGAACACGTTTATTGCAAATTATGATATCAGCATAATTTACGTATATATATATATATATATATATATATATTTCAAATGGCAGGCGCTTTGATAATTACCATTAGAGCTTTAGCTGACTTCGGGCTTCACAGAGGGAAGAAACATTAAAGTGGGAAAAATTCGAGAGGAGGGACAGAAGAGTGATT